CTGACAAATTATATATAGTTGTCAGAAAGGATTAGCTCCAAACACCATGTAGGTTTGAAATTATAAACCAACCATCAGTGTTGTAGTCAGAATGAGCTGAGTGGCAAAAAACAACATTCAAATACTCAAAATGTGCTCTATGCCATTTCTTTCCCTTTTGTCATGAATTGGCCAATACAGTATTGTTTCAACACTGCGCTTCTTCAGTCACGGGGAAATACTGTGTGCATCACTTCCTACTGCACTAGGGGAATTTTCAAAGAGGAATCCTGAACACAGCAAATGTAAAATAAGCACGACAACCTAAGCATTACATGTACAAGTCATGGAAACCCATGCATGGGGCTCCTTGTGCACAGGTTTTGTGCTGACGGTAATGCCAGAGGAGGTTTGCAACTTTTAGACTCAGTGACCCCGCTCTGTAACGCTACGTGGTCTGAGGTACTCTGGTTCTTAAACACAGGGGATTGTTGACTAACTGGGAGGCAAGAAACTTCATAACCTGACTTGTTGCAACGATGGCGTCCTGTTAACAGCACCACACTGTAATTCAGTGAGGTCCTCAGAATGATCCACTCTTTCACACATGTTTGTAAAGGCAGACTTTATGGCCAGAGGCAGGACTTTATATACCTGCGCACATGAGACTGAAAGCACCTGAATTCAAAGATTAAGAGGTGAAGACCGATACTGTTGTCCACTATATTTAATTTTAAAATTAAGGACATGTGTGTTCTGTCCTGTCTTCCTCCCTTCACCCACAACCGGTCGCAGCAGATGGCCGCATGGTCCATGCACCTGGTTCTGCCCGAGGTTTCTTCCTGTTAAAAGGGAGTTTTTCCTTTCCACTGTCACCATGTGCTTGGCCATCAGACAACTCCTTACGACCTGCTTGGTCGTAAGGAGTTGTCTGATGGCTGGGTTTTTCTTTGGATTATTTTAGGGTTTTTTCCTTACAACAGGGGTGTCGAACTCCAGGCCTCGAGGGCCAGTGTCCTGCAGCTTTTAGATCTCACCCTGGGTCAACATACCTGAATCAAATTATTAGTTCATTACCAGGCCTCTGGAGAACTTCAAGACATGTCGAGGAGGTAATTTAGCCATTTAAATCAGCTGTGTTGGATCAAGGACACATCTAAAACCTGCAGGACAGCGGCCCTTGAGGCCTGGAGTTCCCCCACACCCCCTGGTTTAAGAAGCCATCAACCTGGAAAAATCCCTTAGTGACTATGGTTGCTCCCCTCCCCATAACAGACTGATAGACTTTCACTTCAGGTTACATTTGTATTAGAATCATAAAGCATACTTTTCTTGAAGGACTAACTAATGATTAATATCTAGAACTGCTGGTCTAGTGTTTTTTTTACATTAAGGTTCACATTGGGCCATCACTGAACAAAAAAAAAAAAATCAAAAATACCCCTTCAACATATTGTAATTCAAGTGGTCTGAATGGTAACTAGACTTCTGCAATACATTGTGGTTTAAATTTCATAATAGAAAATAGTCCATATAGGAAGTAAGACCAAGTGGTGCAATCATCTAAGTAGAGGACTTTCATATGGGGGGGATGGAAATGGACTCTTACGTTAAGCCAAAATGTAACGCTGACTATGAATCACATACATATAATCATAGTTGTGTAATGAGAGGGGCGTAGATGTAGATCTGTCTACCACACATTTAATTATATTGTTTCACTTAAAAAAAACAAGAAAAAACTAAAGTTTAAAACATTACAGTAAGTGTAGATACTTTCCAAGATGTGGATTTTATAGATTTACTCATAAAAGAAATACGTTAATCTTGTTTGTACATTTTTAGCATATCTTGTGAAAGAACGACAATCGTGAGAGACTTTTAGTGGAAAGCATGTGTTTTTTTAGTACCATTATTAGTATCAGTGTTACTTATCTTGAGCCCTAATCCAAGGGAAGTTACACTGCGGTAAAGCTCATCAGCCACTGTCGTCACAGTTTTACACACTGTCACTACACCAAAGCCACAGGAAGCATCTAAATAATTTTCACTACACTCCGATCCCATTGAGACCCTGTAAGAACTGTAAGAAAATGAGGCCGGTAAAGATTGTTTATCCTCACTTTATTCCACATTCTTCATCTTTGCTGTAACTTGCAACAGAGCAATTCTTTTATTTCCTTTTCTTACAGGAAGTGGCTGGCAGTTGGCCTGCAAATCAAAGAGACAACACTAGAGTCAAAGGTAAGAAGGAAGTTGTTGCTGAAGCAGAACAGAAACGGTTGACTGAAGGGGGAACCTTTTGTTGTAGTCAAATAAAGTGCCTGTTGTGGCTTCATGTCTGAAGATAAATGTGTTGCCTTCCAGAATCACCTTCACATCGAACTGCCAATGTGTCTCAGGTGGACCAACCCCACTCAGCAGGCTATAAAATGAAACCATCCTCTGTTCAGCCCATTCAGTCGCAGGCCCCGTCAGCTCCTTCGAGGAAGCCGCAAAACAGATCATCGAAAAACATTTGCCCACCTTTTAAGCAAAACCATTTCTCTCAGTACCAGGTGTGTGTGTTCGTTGTTTTTCACCGACTTAAAAACTTTTTCCACAATGAGCAGGTCTAATGTTTTTCAATTAAAAGAGCTTGAATATACTAATTAACTTCATAAGTTAACCTAATTCAAAACTTACCAGTTCACCAGCAGAGACGGGCAGTAACGTGTTAAAAGAAGTATGTTACTGTAATCCAATTACTTTTTTCAAGTAACAAGTAAAGGGATTATTATTGCAAAAAAAGTAATTGAGTTACTGTTACTTTCCCATAAGCACGCTGTGTTAGTGCGTTACTAAAAATTCAATTGTATATGATGGATTGTGCAGAAAAAAAGAATTGGGCTGAAAGGACCATTGCTTTGTTACATATTCAAGTTTTGTATCATGTTTTTAAAAAGTAATGAAGTTACTAATTACTTGCAGAAACTAAGTAATTTGTAAAGTAACTGGATGACTTTCTTGGAGAATTAATCTGTAATTAGTAACTAATTACTATTTTCAAGTAACTTGACCAGCACTGGTCACCAGTGACCTGGCAAGGGTTATGTTCATGTCTACCCTTTTTTCCTATATGGTACACCCAGTCTGGAATCTCAGATAGCCAAATGCATGTATAATATGTGATTTAATGAATGTGTGTGAATGTTAGATAGTAAGGAAAAAAGCGGTTGTATGGATGGCTGTGAATGAGGCATGTTGTATAAAGCGCTTTGGGTCCTTCAGTACAGTAGAAAAACAATATATGAGAACTGGTCCACTTTCCATAACTATTTTATGAAGATCTGCTTGTTTAGCATGCAGCTACATAACCCAAATGTTTCTTGCATGTTGTGCCTCATAAATGTTAAAATGTGTCAAAATAAAAGCAATTCTAGTAAAAATATATGTAGGCAGTAGTTAAAAACCCGAAAAGAGCAAACTTGTCCAAAGCTCTGCTGACTCAGTAACTACAGAGCTCCAAACATCATCTGGCACTAATATCAGCACAAACATATACAACAGGAGCTTCATAGCATGTGTTTCCATGTCTGAGCAGGTCCTGTAGGTGGTATGTGAAGGTGTCCCATTACTTTTGTCCACAGAGGGCCAAAATCTTCAGTTAGATTTGAGCTTCAGTCATCAATTCTTGTGCTAAGAAATGTTTTGATTAAAAAAAAAGATTAAAAGGTTTACACAATTTTTAGCCACGAGATGAAACATGGTACGCTCCATTCCAGCTTCATGTTCAAATTTTTACTTTAACTTTGTATCATTTACAGTTCACAGCGGTGTCTGTGGCTCAGGAGGTAGAGCAGGTCGTCTACCAATCGGACGGTTGGTGTTTTGATCTCAGGCTTCTGTTGGTTGCATGTAGAAGTATGTTTGAGCAAAATACTGACCCCCGATGTATCCACTGAACAATGAATGTATGAATATTAGGTTAAAAACACTAGAACGTAGGAAAAAAGTGCGTGTGTGTAAATGACTGAATCAGGCTTGTAGTAAGAAAGTGCTTTGAGGGTTCAGTGGAGTTACTGTATTAGGGACGTCGGCTCTCAGTGACATCATAGAGGTCCAAAAGTAGAAAAACTGAAAAACAAAAAGAGCTGTCTGAAGCTAAGAAAACCAAATGAAATGCTTCCAAAATAGTTCTTAGAAAAGACAAAAAAGGACTGAATTTTAAGTGCTGGAAAATGAATGTAAACATTTTTGTTCAATCTTACAGCGGCTCAAACTAACATGATTTGCTTTTATTCTGAACCGCTTTAAACAAATATTCTTCTTCTTTTCTCTGCAGCGTCAGTCCTCCAGCCCTGGTAATTTCTGCTATCCTGCCACACCTAGAATCAACATGCACTTCTGCAACGTAGTTGGATTACAACTTGGTGACAACAACACCATGCACATCTGCGCCACAGATCCTTTAGAGCGGAAGAGGCACCCAACAGCACCATCTGCCGTTAACGTCCCTCTGCCACACTTGGGAGGCTGGGGGAACAAGGCTGGAGGAGTTGGCTGAGTGTGTTGTCTAATCTTCCCTCTTTCTTTTTAACTTCTCAAATTTGAGATCATATTTAAGGGTTTTTTTTTTGCATGTTTGTTTTTAAAAAAATCTGTTGTAGTGGACTTTTATATCTGGACAGGTTTCTGAAAAAGCTTTTTGTTTTCTATTATTTTCTGTATTTATTCTGTTTATTTTGTTTGAAATGCTGAAACCAGTGAAAAAAACATCACACCTTTCTTTTGCACTGTCAGCAGTAGAATTATGGGCCAAGTCTGGTCATATGGTTGATGCTTTTTCACCTACTGTGGTCAACAAATATCCAAAGACACAGTGCCAGGAAATCATCTTAAGCCAGAAATTGCCTTAACGGCAGACTGACTATTAATCACAACAAGTCAATATGTGTTATAAAACCAAACGTAGGATTTGCATTAATGCACAGGTCTCCGACTCCAGGCCTCAAGGGCCGCTGTCCTGCAGGTTTTAGATGTGTCCTTGAGCCAACACAGCTGATTTAATTGGCTAAATTACCTCCTCATCATGTCTTGAAGTTCTCCAGAGGCTGGTAATAAACTAATCATTTGATTCAGGTGTGTTGACCCAGGGTGAGATCTAAAACCTGCAGGACAACGGCTCTTGAGGCCTGGAGTTTGACACCCCTGCAATAATCCATGGATACGGGTGGGACTTCTTTGGCTTGTCAAGGAGGTTAAAATTAAACACATGCCTTTCAGCATATACTGTTTGTATTACTGTATTTTTCGGACCATAAGGTGCACCGGATTATAAGGCACACTGTTGATGAATGGGTCTGTTTTCATACTAAGGTGCACCGGAATATAAGGCGCATTAGGCAAAACAAAATCAGATCAAACTTTACTCAACTCATTCTTCTTGTTTCCTCCACTTCCGTACCATTGATTCAATAATGTTGAATTCTGTTGCAGCTGCTCTATTCCCGTGTTTTTGCAGCATAATAATGACTAACTTCGTGTTGTGGATGTATTATGTCAGCTGTTCTCCTGACTGAAATTTGGTCCATTGACAGCGTCAGGAACCCTCACATTAACTTTTATCGAGTGGAAAAAAGTTAGCGTTCACCCTCCAGCTTCATTGTGTTTATGCTATGCTAACATAGCTGCGTCGCTCGTAGCGCATCATTATATAGCTAGCCAAACTTCAGCAACCCTACAAACATCACTGCTGTTTAGTATACGGTATGTGGAAAAACCTGGTTTGTACTGTATTTGTATGTTTGCTTACACATGCTGTTTTGTTGGCGCATTAAGTGCAGCCGAGATGTTAAAAAATAAGAAGCTGCATTAAAATTGGCCCATTATGGACTGTCCAACCTCCATATTTTAAGAGGGCAGCTTTGCAGCGTTCACAGTTGAAAATAATCTTTATTTATCTTAAACTGTGCCTTGGTGCAGACCGCCCATTTTAGCAAATCTCCCCTTAGCAAGGTTTGAATAGCAGGTGGGTCACATTGGGGATATCCACTCTCTTGTTAAATCAAAGAGTGATTTTTAAGTTGAAACTTTTCTCTCACAGTGATAAACTGCATGTACAGTGTCCTCATTATTTAATTTTTTTTATACACATGCTTTTCCTTCATTACATGATAATCAGTTAGATTAAAGTGTCACCTTAACTTAAATTTCAATCAAGAATTTGTTTTTGTTTCTTGCCCAAGAAACACATTTTTCATTGCGCAGAAGCATGATGTAGCTTCAATGAAGTGCTGGAACAATGCTGTGTGAAATATTTATTTGGTACGGTTGTGTTGTATGTGTACAATGTTCTCATATTAGGATGGTTTTTATCTGAACTTTACCACTTTTTGAAATCATCCTAATGTGTATCTGATTTATTTTAAATGATGGGTAGGTAATGTCCAGAAACTGGACTTTTTAAGAAACAGGACGCAAAAAACATTTCTTTTTTGCCTTCTATATGTTGTAATTTCAGATTTTTATCTCAAAACTTACAGTTAAATGTCTCAAATTTTCTACGTATTCAAAAGTTTGAATTTTGAGATAATAACTTGAAATGTTAAACCTCATGTTCAGCCTTAATGTTTTTCCCGGGAAATTTGGGAAAAAAAAAAGAAAAAAATCTGATGTTGCTTTAAAGAAAAATCTGACAATTTAATAAAAAGTTCATTTATAATAAGAAGTTATTGGTGTTGTATTTCCTTTACAGTTTTTATGTTTTGTTATCTGCTCTTTTCTTATTTCAGACACCAACATAAGCAAGTTCTTGAACGATGCAGGTAAGGTAATTTTTAAGCTATCAGTCAGAAAGTTGTTTAAGTATTTCATTTTTATATTGATTTGAGCAATGTCTCTGCAGAGGATTTTTAGGTCCACCTTGAGAAAAATGAAAGTATTTCTCCAAAAGTTGATTCTGTTAAACCTGAGATGTCGAACATACTGAACAGAGACCAGAACTGCTACAGGGTCCAGTCATGTGGATGGCTTTGCAAAATGTGAAAGTTACAAAAGAAGGCACAGATTCGGGAGTTTTCACTATATTTTCATCTGAACTGCTAACTTAATCTTATCTATAAAAAAACATCTCCAACACCTTGTGTTAACTTTAACATTTATTATAGAATAAAATCAAGGCAATAAGCAGCTGGTTCTTTCTATGTGATTTTATATAAGCTGCACTGATAACAGTAGCTTTTCTTTACAATGTGGAAAACAGAAGCCCCAAAATTGCATTTATTTTTCTTAAGACACATCACGTATATCATTAGAATAATTTATTAAGCATTTTAAACAGTTAAAGAATCCACTAAGACTTTAATAGGTGTTTATTTTAGGTTATTATTTATTTTGTTTTACCATGCTTAACAAATTCATTAGACCACTTGTCATAAAACAAGAACAGTGAAAACCTGTTTAAAACACATATTATTTTGTTATTTATCCAGCAAGGGAAAAAAAAATTATGTTTATACCCAAATTTGAGCGAACACAGTGGGCTTACATATGAGAGGAGTCAGAAATGAATCAACCACTAAAACTAACGTTTCTCTTAATAAACATGAGTAAATAACTATAATAAAAATAATAATCCGCTTTACTATTTTTTTTACAGCTTTTATTTGGTTGGTAAAATAGTGCATTGGAAAATTTATAGATGACAACAATAAATAATTGTATGTCATGGTCCTGGTCTGTGACTTTTGATTCTTGTATATTTTATATTCTGAGGTTAGGATTCTGTCCCTAGTTTTGGTTATTATAGTTGTAATCCCTCCGTTTATACTGTTAAGTCTTAGTTTTGTATTTCTGTTATCATTTCTGTTACCATGTTACCATGCCTCCCCTGTCTGTAGGGGGCACTGCTGTTTTTTTTTGTTCAGTGATTCAGCCCAATCACTGATGTATAGCCATGTCTTTTGTAATCTACATCAGTAATTGTACTTTAGCTGTGGTGGTGTTTTTATGAATGTTCCCTGTCACATTTTCTGTGTTTGTCTTTAACTTTGAAGAGTTTATCTCGCTTTTGGAACCAAAGTCTTCACTTCATGTTGTTTTTGTACTCCAGACACGACTCTCTAAAGTGCTAACACAGGCCTCTGCTGTGCACCGGGACGTTGACACTAATAGGTTGTGAAGGTCCAGTGTGAACTCAGCAGGCTCCTGGCAATGGTTTCATTTTCTACTGCCAGCCCTCCATCTGTCACCGGATCCACCGCTGAGAGGTGCACTGTCGCTGTGCGCACTGTGCGTCAGAGGGAGCGACGAATACAGACAGAAATTCATGTATAATTTATGACTTTTACAAAAAAAGCTACAGTTTTCATGACTGAACACCTTTTCTATGTGAGAAAAGTACCTGCATTTTTTATGGGCATAGTAAAACTCTCAATAGTACAATATCTCTTACCTTCAGGACAGCTCTTGGGACAAACAGCAGGGAGGCCTGCTATTTTCAGAACAACCTTCTGTTTGTACAGAGCGATTTATAGAGCATATGTAAAGTGTGATAGAGGGTGTTTGGGGGCCACAATTGTGTCAGCATTTAACTAAGGACATATGTGGTAAGCAAAATGCAGCCTTTGTGAAGAAAAGGGAAACAGTATGTTCATTAAATAAACAGAAGAATGGTTAACAAGCTTGTATGGGCCTCTGTTTATTTGAATAATAATTATGGATAATTATGGATATTATAACTGGAAAGCTAAACGAGTTGATGTAGTCTACCTGTAGCTTCTAAATAAAAAAGTAAGCTTATCAGTTTCACAGCTTCCTTTGAGTCACATCAGTATTTTTTTTCTGTAACTCAAGCTAGCTGTAGCTAGCTGCTCTAAGGCCTCACCTGTGCTAATTCAAGTCACTGAGCTGGACATCTCAATGTCTACTTTTGGAGTATTTTTTATGGAAATATCTGACTCATATTATAGCTTGGTATGCATCACTTTCACTTCTGTTATTATATAGAATATATATTATTATATGGATATATAGCACTAATTAGCATAGGCCTGAGTGAAAGCTACAATCTCTATGGTCCTTGATTCAAAAACTTGTTTTAGCAGTAAGAACTTAAAGATCTGTACAATTGGCCATTATATTTTTCATCCATTCTGTTGCAGATTTGTGCTTTCAATTGTTTTTAGATGAGCCAGTTTGAGGCTAGCTTTAGCTGTCAGACAGATAGCCTCACATTTGACTTGAGGGTAATTTGTAGAGGAGTTCATGGCCGTGTGAGTGACTGCACGGTGCCCTGGTTGAATAAAAGAATGAAGTCAGTGTTAGCCAATGAGTGTGCTGTTTCTCAGTCAAATATGCGTATTGCTCACATCCCATTTCAAAACACAAAGAACATTGAAAAGCTTCAGACTGGAGTTTCACAAAACATCTAATCTTTGTATCTCTGCTAGCTAGCAAGCTTGCATACTGCTAACTTCTAACTTTGCCCAAATTTGTCAATCCTCTTTATTATAGCAGTCTGTATACTTAAGACAACAATGAAGTGCTACACTGAACATTTTAATGAAAGTGAAGTATCTTGGATCATATTCTCCTTCGTACCTTTCTGAGATAAAGCATTTTAACTGGCTAGCCAGCACTGAAAGTATTAATTTGTTAGTGCTAATAGATTGATGCAGTCAGTAGACACAATTATTTTCTTTATTGGCCATTTCTTATTTCATGCATTAAAAGGAAAACTGCAAGCAACCACAGACTAATGACAGAAAAACACACAATAAGCCATAAAAATGCAATGGAAATGGAAAATACATCCAAGATTATTTGGTGCAAGGTGAATTCACCAATTCATCGATACACATCAAGATGCGTCAGTGCAGTTCAATGTATCAGTTAATTCCTCTTCCTTCGTGTTGATGGCTGTGAAAGTAACAAAGAACTCTTTATGTAACACCCGCCCTCCCCTCCACACCTGTGACTATGGTCAGAACACCAGCTCTCATAATCCTACCTCAGTCAACCCTACAACGGGAACACCAGAAACCCAGAGAAGGTGGAGTACTTCCACCCTCCCATTAGGTTCCCCCGCTCCAGTTTGAGGTAAGCCTTGTCCCCCCTCTCCATAATCACCAGACCCGCATTGGTGGCAGCTTCCCTGGTCACATCCTGGTCGCCCGCGAAGGCTGAGATCACAGGCCAGCCGTTGAGAACCAAACTCACCTGAGAAAGCAGGATGTAAGATTTGTACGGAAAGTTTGGTTAGAAGACAGTGTTTGGTTACAGTATGTACTGTATCCTAAAACCTCCACATCAGTGCTGGTACAGGAGTAGAAGAAGTAAAAACTGAATGAAATCACATTCAGAAACTCTTCCTCTGTATAATCTGTGAATTATTCTCTCTGCACTGATATCATTAAAAGAGCAGTAAGAAGTAAAACTGCACTCATGTCCTCAACTCTGGAGGCAGAGGCACAAAGTTCAATGTGATGTGTACAACTGCGACTTCATTTTTGTCGTATAGCGCAATCGCGAAAGTGAGAATAGCGTCCATAAATGGACGATTAGAAGTAAAGCTACACAGGGAAACAACCAGCTCCACTGAAATAACACTGAGATGACTGTAAATTCATTCACAGATATTAAGTCAGGGGACTGAGGCTGTTTGTGGTGAAAGATATTATTTTTAGTTATAGTTGTATTTTAACCTCCTAGGACCTGGCATCCAGATATGTGGACATCACATTTTGGGTTATTTAGATCAAAATACTCAATTTTGCTCTACAAGGGCCTGATATCCACTTAAGAGGACATTATACTGCTACTGTTCTATCAAAATCTAAAAAAAAAACCCCAAAAGGGGACCCTCATTTTTCTTAGAAACAAAAATCAGGTAAAAAGAAAAATCTGGTAATTCTTTGTTTTTCCATTCATCGGGTCCCAATCAGCCCAAATATCAAAGAGAAATTAAAAATGCATGCAGTGGAAGAGTTCAGGTCTTAGGAGGTTAAAGGAATACAACCTTTAGTGGCCATGTGAATGAGTGCATGTAAAACAGAATCAGGTATGTTTGGACGCTGATGCAGTTTTGATGATTGTGTCTATACATCAGTAGAATCAATTTTAAATTGAAGAGCAGACTTCCAGCTTTAATTCAAGGGGTGGGACAAAAACCTCACACTAATGGTTGATGAATTACAGCTGTTTTTAAACAGACTCTCAGATTCGCCCCTTCCTGGGACTCCTGTCAGTACTTCTCAGGTCCCAGCTCATCTAGTACTGTGTGGACATCACAGAAGAACCAGACTTTAGCACCTCTCTGTCTGTTGTTAATTCACAAACCTTAGAACAGCAATAAGTCTAACTTTTCTTTGAGAAACAAACAGATCCGTTCAGTGTTACGTGACGCTTTTACATTTTTGTTCTTACTTGTATCGTCTGCCGGTTGTAAACTTTGACAACATGAAAGCTGAAACTGTAGACTCCTTTTCTGGGTGCCACAAAGATGCTTGTTGCTGGATCGAAATGGCTGCCAACGTTCACTATGATCTAAGAAGGAAAAGAGAGAAGCAAAGAGTTTCACAAATTCAACCAACCAACTAGCCACAAATGTGTAATCCATAATCTTTCACTGAGCCTCCACTGTGGTTTATTATTCTTATTTTTCTGACCTAAATTTTTCTAATGTTTCTCTTTTACAAGAAAGTTGGTCTGCTCGTCCTCGCAGGAGAACAAGAAAAGGAGGGAGAGAACTGGCAGTGAGTCACTCCGTCGTAATAATGCTTTTCTGTGAAGGCCTTTTTTCTGTTTGTACAGTGTGATCAGTAACTGGGGACTTTGATGGCAATAAATCAAGTTTAGTAACAGCAGAAGAGGCTGTATCTATAAATGGCGATGGCAGTCTGTTCTGGTTATTATAAAACTGGCTGGTTGGTCAGTTCACCACATTGGTTTCTCAGTAAACTGTCTATGCATGAGATTTTCTCACAGACATCAATGCTCCTCTTTTATCGACTGTTTCTTGTAGTCTTATTTGAGAGTCCTGAAAGTCATGCAAAATGTAACTTGCAAAATTTGCCTGCTGACCTGCTATTTCTATGTATATGGATAGAGGTCTTTAGTGTAGTGGTTTACCTAACAAGCTGGAGACAAAATTAAAACGACAAGGTTGAGATGGTTTGGACTTGTGCAGAGGAGGGATAGGGGACAAAGGGAATGAATATGGGGAAAGGGAAGCCCACAGAGGAGGTTCGTGGGTGTAGTGAAGGAGGACACGCAGAGGGTTGGTGTGACAGAGGAGGATGGTAAGGATGGAGTGAGATGGAGACAGAGGAAGAGACAGATGATCAACTGTAGTGATCCCTAAACGGAGCAGCCAAAAGAAGAATGGCCTGCATTTCTATAGCGCCTTTCTAGTCCCTAAGGACCTCAAAGCACTTCACGCTACATTCAGTCATTCACCCATTCACACGCAGCGGCTACACACTGTAGCCACAGCTGCCCTGGGGCGCACTGACAGAGGCGAGGCTGCCGGACACTGGCTCCACCGGGCCCTCTGACCACCACCAGTAGGCAAACATGGGGTTAGTATCTTGCCCAAGGATATTTGGCATGCAGCCAGGAGGCAGCCTGGGATCAAACCACCGACCTTCTGATTAGTGGCTGACCTGCTCTGCCACCTGAGCTACAGCCAACCCAGAAGGAGGTCTACATCTAACAAGCCAGAAATCTCAGTTTGATCCTGGGTGGAGACACAAATCTCTTTGTGGTTACATCAGGAAGTGCATCTGGTGTAAAAATCTGCCAAATCAAACATGCAGAGCTATCTGCTGTGGTGGCTCCTTGCAAATAAGGGAGCTGACGTAGATTCTACACAGAGGTTTTTAGTTTTTAGTTGGGACCTATTGTCCCAGGTTTGCAGTTTATTTATATTTTTACTTTTTTATTCCACTATGAAAATTCACCTGTGCACAAAGGGACATAAGCTCAGAGGCTGAATGACCTACACATACATTTATTTATTTATTTATTTATTTAAATGTATTAATTTAGGGGGTTTAGAAATACTTTATCTTTTACTTATTTAAAAGCTTCCTCAGTTTTAAGTTGGAAATTTTGAAACAAAGATAATCTGGTCTGGTATACAAATGTGTCGTCAGTGGTTTCCATCTTTCTGTGTCCAAACAAATGCATGTTTCCTTTGCGCTGTTTCCTTGTGTGATGCTCATTTAATATTTGCATTAATTTCTGTATCATTCCTTTTTGGTTCTTTCCTGTCTTACTTTGAAAGTTTGTTTTCTTTCCTCTCCTGTGTTAGTTTTGTTTACTGTCCTTCCTTGTCCTGTTGGCCATTCCCTAATCAGCTCTCAGTCTTTGTCACAGTGTCTATGCTTCCCCGCATGTTGCTCTGTGTTGACTGGACTTCTGTTTGACATTTTGGATATTTTTTTAAAAATAAAATACTAGCTTTCTGCCTGCAGTGTCCTGGATTTGGATCCTCTCCAGATTCAATACAAAAGAGGTCTATGTCCTTTGAAACACAAGTTTCTGTTGACCGTTTTTAGAGTGCAGCAGAAGGTGAAGCGTCATTTTTGGTTGAACTCATGAAATTCAACCAAAACCTTAACTTGCACCACACTTTTCCAAAAACAAGCCTTAAAACCCACCTGGTCAAAGTAGATGGTCATGGTTCGGTTGCTCATCTCTGAGGGTTCGTGGTTGGTGTTACGAATGGCCGAAAATGCCACCCGCCCAGTTCCTGACCTCACTGACATGCCCAGGGCATTACCTGACGGCTCCGCCGACGGGGTGGAGTCGCACACCACCAGACACTTTCCCTCCAACACGATCGGCTCCGTGTCATTCTGGCAGCTGACCTCGGAGGGCCCCCGGTGGACGAGCAGCAGCAGTCCAACGACAAAGACGGAGTGGGCATCAAGGTAGAGTGCAGGGGTAAATGACAGACAAGACATCTTTTTTTTCTTCGCGTTTCTACTGCAGAATGGTCACCACAGCTCTTTAGCGAGACTCTTCTTGGCGCGCACCTCACTTTACCAGCAGGGTCATAATTTCACCTGGAAAGAAAACATCAGCCAGGGCTTTGTCTCATCTCTTTGGAGATTAAACGATTCAGGGACTCCTCAGCTGGCTTACTACGACTGACAGGAAGTCCATAAATGCGCGGAATAAGTGGTGGCGTCCGGTCCCTCACACCAGGGCAGGAGTGGCCATCAGCCAAGTGTGCTGAGTCAGAAGTCCAGACTGGATTGAAGCTTCAGGCCTGCGAGTCAGTGACACAGTTATTCACATGAAAACATTGCACGAATCTCAATATGACTGGACGACCTGATCATCTTTAGTTTGCAAATAAACTTACTGGTGAACAATGGCAACAGCTGTTAAAAAACCTGAACCTTGGTGACTCCTGCCCCTAGTTTGCTTCAACAACCCATACTGTTGGAGAATCCACCATTTTTACATATGTTTAGCCCTTTAAAACAAGTTCATGCATCAAAATATTAAGTATACAAAACCACTATGCTCGTTCTTGTTCTGCTTTTTAATAACAGAACATGACGAGTGAAAACAGGCTGAAAACACAGCACGGTGCTGCTGGAGAAAAGTTGTGTGCCTCAGCACAGTTAAAATCTATCAAACCCGCACTGCTGTAAATGTAATAAAAAGCCCATCCCGGTGCTCTGCCACATCGCCGCTTAAACGGTGAGAATATTAATAGAAAACCGCTTTGTATTGAAGCAGAAAATAAATAGAAGTGATGAGGTAATGCTTTGGCCAGGAAGAGGCCCGCGTGAGCGACGCCAGCTGGACTCAGGAGGGGGTACAGCGGACTATCACAATCCCACCGCCGAGAGGCCATCTGTGGGTAAACACTCCCACTCATTCACCTCGTGCACCTTTCCAATTTAATCCCTCTCTCTCTCTCTTTGCACTTGCATTCCTTTACACAAACACGCTTACTATCAAAAAAGCCACTGTTTTAAGAAGCAAACACAAGAATTCAGACAGTACTTTGATAAATTATAAAAGAACCTTTTAGCATTTCCCTGTGTGACATTAGAGATGTTGCCCCGAAAAATCCTCAAAAGCATGGACAATAAGTGCAATGATAAAAAGTACAATCGCTCTAACGAGAGTGACCCTCAAAGAAAGAATCTGCAGATGCTCCATCACCCACCTTTCACGTCGTCAGCGTTGCTCCTGCAGCAACATACAGAAGCCAGCTTGGCTCAGTAAAGTTAGAGCTCCGTTTCACACTCACCTTCAGCTTTATCTCTCCTCCTCTCCCCCTCTCTCTCTCATTCTCTCTCTCTCACTACATCTCTGTTCCAGGGGACCCCTGCGTTCGAGCAGACGTTTAATCACATCACGAGCGTTGCCATCCTTCTGTTTTCACTGTTCCTCAAACCCACCCCCACTCTACCTTTTTCTCCCTCCTTCTCATCTAACCTCAGATATTACAGAAAATGCGCTGGGACTTAAAGGATTCATCACGAACTCACACGTATCCCTGCTATAATTAAAAAATGTTTTGTTTTTTAATTAGTAAATGACTATTAATGGGTGATAGCGGGTACAAATAGCTTTTTTCCCCTTTTAAACATTCATCAATTTAGACAGGTATATCGCCATGGTAACTTATGCTGTGAACAGGGTATGTTTCGGATTAGAGATCAAGAGGTATGAAATCACCGCCTACTGATGGACCAGTGCTCCAGAAAATCACCATCCCTGAAGATTCCTCAGACTTCTGAGTGGGTGTAAATTTTTAACAGCATCTAAAGTGTTGATGTCTTCCCGATGAGCATCAGTAATAAACATTCATAGACACATCTTTATTCCCAACTTTACTGGTTTTATTTCCTTTATTGTTCCATAAATATCCTAAAACAGAGCAGGTACTTGCAGTATTTTTATGTAGTTGTGGATCTAATTCACTCAGAGAGTTACATTTATTCTTTACTCTCAGATCATTAAAGACACTCAAGCCTGCAGCTGAGAATAAAAAGTAAAACTTGCTCGACATTAATTTAATTACGTACTTTACTGTAATCCATCAGACTGTGCTTTGTCCAAATGAGAGAGCTCTGTTAGAGAGATACGTTAATTTACACAGTTTGTATTTTTCCCTTTTTTTCCTGCCTTTCAAAAAGCTAAAATGTAGCATAGTGGCGCTCTTCCAGTCTTTCTCACCAAAGTGTTTAAAGCGCTCACACATTCATTCTGTTTTTAATACTAAACTACTGCGCAGAGCTTTTCCTCGCACACACACCCACGCTGCAGCTTTGTCTTTCAGTCCACATTGTGTGTTTAACCTCTACACCACCATTTGTGATTGGTCACATACTGACACCTGCCCAGTGGAAACACTGAGTTAACTTATCATGTTGATAACCAGCTTTGTGTGTCCGCTTATCCTGATTGTCAATGTTAGGTTCAGCATACTCGGGGTATTTTCCATTATCTGGATCTGCTCACTGTGATTCAGAACAGGGCCCAGGCCTAGTAAAATGAGCAGAGCAACAATTATAGGAGGGAGGAACAAAACCGTAAAGATGCCGAGTACTTACGTCTGCTCACATCCAGCAGAACTGTGCTCTGATGTCAGACTCAGAATCGCTTAAATATTTATAATACTCGGTTACTGTTTGATGTAATTTTTTTTACTGAACACACACCACATCTGTTTAATCCTTTTTCTGTTAACAGGGTCTAAATAAACTTTTAACTAACTGTTATATGACCTGTGCACATTTTTTTGTTTGCTCAGTATGCCTTAGAAGAAACCAAAAATTAAAACGTATATTCTGACAAACCTGTCTGATGACAGAACATCTGAACAACAACGTCTGAAAAATACAAAAAATAAATACTAATTCAAGGCCTTAATGTTCAAACATTAAAGCTGGATTTCTCCTCTATGTGAAGCCTGATGTGTGTGTCATAATACATAATGAATATAATGGTGAGGTGCAGCTTATTTAGACCTCACATTAAAATATACAACAAATCAGCTTCCTTCAAAATAACAGGACCCAAAAACGCATATTTGAGTTTTGTTTGTTTTTCTTTTTTTTCCCCAAAAAACTAGAATTTATTTTCAGTTTCAACTTTTGCATCTCAAGTACAGTAAATACTAGTCTAGTAGTATTTTGTGAAGATTTGAATAATAAAAGTTAAAAACACTTTGCACACACTTCATGACAGAGAGAGCAAAACTTACTCCCATCTTACAGGCTGTACAGGTTATGCTAGGGTTTGCACACTCAAACAGAAGTAACTTGCCATGTTAGCCAGTGGCAGGGTTGCTTAATAACATTGTGCACACTGTTCACATCACCTGTGGAACAAAGACGCATGCGTGAGACGAGTGTTAGTGCCTCTTGCAGCTGGACTGCCTGCTAACTCAGACATGTGACATGTGGTTTCTGTAGGAACAACCATTTTAATCATCTAGGGGAAGCACAGGAATGAGATCTAAAACATTATTTAGCGTCACATCATACGGTTAAATCGATGCCTGTGTCCTGTTCTTCCCTGACACCTCCCTCGAGAGGACAGATAACCAGCGGGGCCATGTTTCTCCCGTTGTTTTGAACACAGGGGTTGAAATACGGGTAGAGAGGCTCACTGAAGCTGCATCCGCCGTAAGTATAAATGTGAGTCTTTGCCTCTGCGTCATAGAAGGACACCGACCTTTCCTCATAGTCCAGGAATATGCTGACTTTCTTGGGGATTTCGTGAAGCTTGAGGGTGACCGAGGGCCCGGCGCAGGCGCTCAGACTGCCACCTTTTCGCCGGCAGATGGCCCAGTAACCGTTTTCAGGACGAACTGTGATGGCACCTTTCCTGTTGATGGACTCCTGGGCCACACCGAGATCCCAGTCTGTTTTATCCCCAACCTGAAACACGGTGTACAAAGAATTAGATGGAAAAAGCAAGAGGAAGAGAAAATAATAACCACTATGAATAATAGCTTTCCCCCCCAGTTGTGTTGAAAACTACATTACTTTCTTTATATTTTGCTAAGAAAATGGGACATTGGTGAAGAGATTTATTAAATTGTGCAATCATACATGTAAATACAGTATATAATGCAAAAACATCAACTGAAGGGCTAGAAGCATCTCTGGTATTTGTTGGATTTTTTTTCTATTTCTTAAGGACATGACTTCCAGATCCTGATCCCACCTGAACTACCCAGTAGCGTCTTCCAGATGTGAAGCTTTGTTTCCCCAAAATGCAGACGCAGGAGTCAAACCGTTGGGGACTGTCTGGGAGCAGAGTCTTCTTCTTCTGGCTGGCGAGGCTCACCTGAGGATCAACAATGGGCTCATCATCGCTGCCAAAGAAACTTTCATTCTGAATCTCCTTCTCCACTTGAGCATAAAAAGCTTACAAAATCAGCATGTCCATCTAAGTGTGTTTACTGTTATCGTGATAGAGTCAGTGATTATAGGCTGATACCTTCTTTTTATCTGGGGACAGGACCAGCCAGCCTGAAGCTGTCTCGGGATCCAGGGTCACATTGACTGCAGATACAAGAAGAAAACAGCAGGTCAGGTACTGATGAAGCTCAAAAAAATTTATAGGAAAAAATGTCTAACTATACTGTATATTTGTGATCATACCTGCATATGCACTCATCTTGTCCACTTCTGCATGACAAAGAAGTTAAAGAATTAGATAATATATTTATTTTTACAATGATTTGTTGTTCATGTTGCTGTAGGGTTACTCACCCTCTGCTGAGAGTTTGTTTGCAACTTCCTGGCACATGTCCCCCAGCATAGAAACGGCTCTCCTGACCATCCCCAGGGAGTTATCAGAGTGCACTGCCACCTCTGACCAATCTCTGGTGGCTGGGAGCCTGCTCAGAGACGGGAAACTCTAAAAGCAGAAGGGAGCTTTTTGTGAGCACCAGCTTTAAGATGCGGATGCAGCAGAGAGACGGTAAAATGCAGCAGATAAATCTGACCTGTAGGAGGTGGAGCGAGCTCCGCGTGAGCTCCAGGTGCTGCAGCTCGCTGCTCCTCGTCTGCAGTTCGTGGATTTCCTTCTCCAGCTCTTCGAGCAGCTCCTCAGCTTTCCTCTCGGCTTCCAGCTGCCTCTCCTCGAGATCCTTGGCGAGCTCAGCCTGCTGCCTCTCGATGGCGGTTATCAGCATGCTGCAGATCTGAGAACTGCTCTGGATCTCTCTCTCTGTGGCCCTCTATTGATTAAAATGATCAACTAGATAAATAAATAAACTGATAAATGAACTACTTGGTTGCAAGCCTGACTTTTTGAACCAATCAACGACCTACTTTGCTTAGATCCACTGGACTTTTGATGTCTTCCATTTTTTTCAGCCTGTCCTGGATCATCTGTTGGATGTCGGACTTTGTCTCCCTCAGATTCATCTGGAGAAGATCAAACAATGTAAAAATGAGACAGCGAGAAGAAGAACGCACAAAAATCTGTGAGCTCAGGAAACCCCCCCTCCCTCCCAAAAAACGCAGGGCAAAGGAAGAAGCTTTTCCTTCACCTTCACCCTCCTGCTCTCCTTCTCCATGGGGACAATCTTGTGGTGCTTGTGGTCGCCCTCTGTGCATTTCGAGCACACGGGTGTGTGATCCTGCTTGCAGAACATCGTCAGGGGCTTGTTGTGCTTTCTGCACAGGTGGCTGGTGTTGAAGATTGCTGGATCTGTGAGGCGGTGTCTCTGCAGCGCTGGATCTCTCTGGTGAGGCACGAGGTGAATCTCACAGTAAGACGCCTGACACACCAGACACGACTTCACCGACGGCGCCTTGTTCCCGTGGCAGACGTCACAGGGCACGTCTTCACGGTCTGATAGCTGGTATGCCGGGGGCTGGACGTCCTCCCCATGCATCAGTGTGGGTGACAAAGACCTTTTGAACATAATGTTAAATATCATTGAATATATTCAAATATATCTGCCATCTGGAAGAGAACACAAAACGGAACAAGACAATAAATTCAAATTAAGGGACACTCTGGTGTGCCAGAAACACAATGCATAGCCAGCTGGACATGGTGTAAACATGCACTGCATGTGACATTGCAGGTAATGGTCAATATATGTGGCATTTAAGGTAGAGTAAGGCTCTATAATCAAGTTAGGTTGGATATTAGCCAAATTAAGATATGTCGGTTTCCTTGTGAAAGTTTTTAATAGAGCTAACTTCTTGGCTAATGCTAACTAAATGGGCAGACAACGTGATTGGTCAGTTGATCCTGGATCTGCTTCCTACTCCACAGCCATGAAACCACACACAATTAAAGCAGTTT